CCTTGATCAGGGGCCACAGCTTTGGAAGTGATTCTCTGTGATCTATTTATTTGCGCAAATAAATTTTACTTCATGTGACAACTACTTCTGGTGAAGGCTTTGATTTCAACTCACCAAGAAGTGGACCCACTTTGGTTCGGTAATAATAGGGGAGGGAGTTGAAGTGAGTGGGGCAAATTCCACTACTTTTTAGAAAGTCTAAGATTTTCTTTCTTTCTTTTTTTTTTTAAAGATTGGCACCTAGGCTAACAACTGTTGCCAATCTTCTTTTTTTTTGCCAATCTTTTTTTTCTTTTTCTGCTTTATCTCCCCAACCTGCCCTGTACACAGTTGTATATCTTAGTTGCAGGTCCTTGCAGTTGTGGGATGTGTAAGATTTTATTTAGATTATGGGACTATATGATAAATTCTGATTTCCGCTTTGAGTCTTAGCAATAATTCTGGGCCAACAGAAAAAAATTCCTCTCAACCTGTTATATCTGCCTCAGTAGATTGCAGTCTACTTTTACATCTGACCAATACATCACCCTATTAGCTATCTCATCCTACATGGACAGCGGGAACTCATATAGCAACTATGCAGAGTAATCTGACTTCTGATGAGGGACAACAGCTCAGAGTTCGGGGAATTCCCAACCTCTAACTCAGATGTTTCTTTTCCTAATAATAAGCCACATCTAGACCTCCATATGCAGGTAATCTATTTCTCTGAAATGAAGGATGTAGCAAGAATTAAAATGTGTTAAGATATGTGAAGCTCTTAGAACAGTGCTTGGCACAGTAGGCACTTAATAAATGTTAGCTGTTAACTATAGCTTTGTCTACCCAGGATGCTTCACCAATCATCTTATTTTAGTAAAACTGCTATTGTAGCTTGACTGTGCCATTGCTGTAGGTTGGGAAAAAATGGCCCAATTTTCTATCCCTCCATGAATCCATGCCATTTGCAGTGAACTTCTCCCATCAAGAGATAGAGACTCTTTCCCCAATCCTTGAATCTGGGTTGGCTTTGTGGCTTGCTTTGGTCAATAGAATGTATTGGAATTGACTTTGTGTCAGTCTGAGCCAAATTCTCAAATGGCTTTGTGGACTTCTACTCTCTCTTGAATTCCTTCCTTTGCCCAGAGAACAAGCTCACACTAGCCTGCTGGAGCCCACGAGACCATGTGGAGGATAGCTGAGGCACCTCAGTTGGAAGTCAGCCAATCCCAGAAGCTGAGCTACTGAGATGATGTGCAACTGATGATGGACACATGGGGAACCCCAACCAACCAAATCCAGAACTGCCTGTCTGAGCCCAGCCTGGACTGGTAAGCTTCAGAATTAAGAGCTGAAAAAATGTTTTAAGCCAAGATTGGGGTAGTGCCCCTCCTCCAGTCAATGTCTATCTCAGTACTATGTCATTCATTCTACACTTATCAAATCCCACTCAACTTTTAACAAACATTTCAACTGGTATCTCTTCTGAGAAGATTTTTCTAATTCCTTTGAGCAGTTTGTTATCTCACCTGTAATTGAACCTTCATTTTGATATCTGTGTCCCTTTTATAGTTCTTCTCTTAGCTTGCCATGTTGTAGAACTGTTAGAGTGCTGCTCATCCTGGTTTCTCTACAGCTAATAAGTGGACACTCAGTAGGCATGAGGATGTGACCCAGGCCCAGCCAATCATGCCACCTTTTCCTACAGTGGTTTCCCTTAAGACAGGAGCACCAGCACCAGGCAGGGCTAATCAGAATCTGCCTGTATGATACAGCCTCTGAGGAAAAGAGTGTAGTTTACCTTTCAGATTAAAATCTCCAAGAATATAGGCCTGGTGCTGGAAGGGACTAGGAGAGGAACAGACAAGGAGAGAAACTGACCATAGCAGGGAGAACAAGGGTCACAAACAAAAAGAGGAGAGACCTGAGGAACAGAGAGAGGTAAGCAGAGGTGAGTGTTCTATTAACATTGAGCCCCTGAGTCTGGCCTACTTTGGTGGTGGTGAACTCTCTTTTTCACTCAAGCTCTATTGAGTCTTGTTTTGGTTTCTTGCAACAAAAAAGAATCCTTCCAATAATCTTGTGAATTGAGGAAGGTTAATACAAGCTATCATCTTGGTGTTCCATCACTCCTAGATTGGTTGACAACATAAGATGTCTAAATTGGGCACTGCTGAGAGTTAAAAGGGTGCTATTAGTAATTATTCTGAGAAAATAGATGGTAACTGAGACTGTCCCAGAGTTTCCTAGAGAAAACAAGTGAGCCCGGATCTGCAAAGCTTAAAACCAGATGCTGGAAAGTTATCTTACAAAAAATCCAAGTATAGATCTTCTATGGGTTTCCTTCTGTGGCAGCTGGTCGACCTCTCCTCTCTCAGCCCTTTTGGGTACAACAATGCAGTTAGTGCACAAAAGCCCACAGGAAGCAAGATTTATTGAACAGGTAGCAATTAAACTCTGAAACTATGTTGTGTTCATGTAGGGTATTTCTTAAAGTTCTGTTTGTAGTCATTCTAACTTAAGGAATGAAAATAAAAGTGCAGGTCTTAATCTATGTGTGGGAATGTTCTTTTAGGATATTGTGTTTTCTATCCTTGGGGGATTAGATGTTGAATATGTTTGGTATATAAATGTCATACTCAGATAAAATTTTTTGTTGGCAACACAAAAGAGCACAACATGCGACTAAAGCTAGAGAAATGTTCTGATTTCTATTAACTTTTATGTTCCTGTATAAGCTAAAGCAGTTGAGACAATAGTAATTAGTCTTCCAATCTCCCATTCCTGACGTAATGGCTTGGCAGCTTTGAGGGTAGGGGAAGACTAATGAAGAGTAGGTAGGTCAGTGTTCTGATGGACAGCAGCAATCGGCAGGACCATTAATACAGGACTGGAGTCCAGTTGGAAGTCTTATTATTATGGTGCTCATCTTGCTTGTTCAGTTGCTGACCCACAACCCAATTTTACCCTTTACCTTTTCTTCCGTGGAATAAGCAACCAAACATGTGGGCATAAATCAGCAGTAAAGTCAATGCGTGTGTGTGTGTATAGAGCAGGTGATGGTGGTGGTCATCTAAAACATTTACATTAACCTCCACATTCATTCTGAGAACAAAAATCAGATCAGAAAAACCTAGGAAATGAGTGATAAGGATTACCACTTTTATCTTTATGTTCTTTTTCTTTCCTTTTAAATCAAAATACTCAATAATTAAGGATCTTTTCTCTTTTGAAAGTGTCCAGTGTTGAGATCTCAATTCAGATGCGCTTTGTGGGTGAGCTACAGAGAACTGAGATAGGCCCCAAAATAATCCAGAAGCCATTCTGTGAAGTTGGCAAGTGAAAGGTAATTCCTTTTAAGAAATGTTAAGCACCCACTCCGTATGTAATTACTAACTGCAGGGGAAATTAAGATGATAAAGACACAAATGGGTATAGTATAAAAGAAGCTAAGAAAAGAGTTAAAGAGGGGTACAAATATCCCAATTGGATTTGATGACAGAGCAGATAATATCAGCCTGGAAAAATTAGAAAAAGCTTCTTGGAAGAGGAACCATTTGAAATGGACCTTAGAGGTTGAGGAATTTTTTCATGCATAGCTAGGGGAAGAAAAGAAACACTTCAGAAACAATCGAAAGCTCAGGGGAAGGAAAGTTTGGACTATTTCCAGGAAGAAAAGGTAGTCACCTTCTGCAAGATAGAACAAGAAGGCTAAAAAAGTAGAGTTATATAGTAGGGAAATACACGTCTGAAACCATATTTATTCCTAATGTTAGCATGTTAGCCTATCCCTGCACAATGACACACATACACACATGACACATCCTAAGCCAGTACTTTGGAACTGGTAGGTCATAATCTGATGTAGTCCTGCTAGGTATCTTCACCATAAATCACTGCTAGTCTCTCTTCGACATTTTTCAGCAACATAAAAACCTGTGACTTCTATTTCACAGTCTATGTACAGATTTCAATATCATCACAATTCATGGTCTATATTTTGCACTTGTGGGTGGGAGGGCACTATAATGTCCTCCTTCCCCACCACCGCACTGGTGTTTTGGTTCAGAGAGTACTGACTAGGAATTTGAATTTATTTATTATTATTATTATTTTGTCATAGGGGACCTCTTGGAGGATTTTGAACAAAGGAATAGCTTCAGGGGGATTTGTCTATCATCCATATGTAGGAAAAATTGGGGAGATGTGGTAACTGGGAAAACAGTTAAAAGCTCACAAAAGTCCTAATAAAAAGTACTACGGTTCTATGCATAGGTAGGAATAGTGAGAATCGATAAGAGAAGATAGTTTCAAGAGACTTTGTCAAGGTAAAATCTAAAGAATCTAAGAATTGATATGAATGGCAAGTGAGAAAGATGATGACATTTGTACAGAGAATAGTAATATCATCAGTAGAAATAAAGGCGTCAAAAGAGAGCTAGAGAGAACTTAACAAGTATGATTTTGGACATAAGGCATTTCAGTTTTCCCTCTGGTATGTTATGCGTAAAGCTAAACTTTCCAAAAGGTAAATTATTTAGAAGAGGCTAATTAAATTGTAGTTGGAAATAATAATGAGATAATAAGAAGTTTTCTTAAAAGGACTCCTCATTTCCACTAATATGAACGAGCATTTAAGTTGCATAATATGCCCATTTCACTGGGAGGGGCAGAGAGAGAACAATTTAAATAAAGTGTATGATTCCTCTTTGAGTAAATGAGATGGGAGCCGTGAGTTTGCTGTTTTCATGGAAGGGGTCAGTTCCATTAGCCTCTGGAAGTGTGGACACTGATCTCCCTGTGGAGATCAGTGCTTACAATATTTGACCAATCCCAATTTTTGCCTTTTGTACTGCCTTTAGAACTAACCCCTCAATGGTATGACCCCACTGTGTGGTTTGGAATGGGGAAAGCCAAGGGAACTTGGAGTTCAAATACTCAGGTGCCAGCAGCATCGAAAAATCCCTCTATATGCTTTAAAAGAACTTAAAGTCATTTGATAATGAAGACAATACTTCCAGTCTGGTGTCTAATACATTTACTTCCCAGCAGCATAATACCACTTTGGTCAGGTTGAACCACTGCACAATTTTGCAGCTCTTTCAGAAAAATAATGAAAACAATTGGAAAGACACAATCACATGCAATGGTGAGAAAGTAGTACTATTGCCCAATCTTTCCCTGTAAATGTGAAATGTCCTTAGTTCATCTCCACACTGTGTATTTATTATAAGCCCTTACAGAAGGGATTTTGTTTCTTTCGGGTTTTTGTAGCACCAAATAGACACAGTGGCTAACCATAAATAATTCTGAAAAGTCATTGAAATATTTATCACATGTCTTAAGTTTTCTGGATCTTTACTTTTATCCACACCTCTGGCTGAAGTATTCTTCATGAGAGTAATGTATACCATAAGATTGAGTTCTTACTCTATTTCTGCAACTGATGTGGTTTGTTGACTATAATACTCTACTAATATCTTTTCATATACTACTTTACAATTTCAAAGTACTTTTATATACAGTGACTCATTTACTTTAATGTGATGGTGTCCGCCAAGCCACAGATAATGGTTAAACACAGGAGCTCCTGTGTTACACTGCATGGGTTCCAATCCTAGTTTCATCTGCTAGCTGTGTGACCTTGGACAAGTCACATATCTATGCTTCAGCTTTCTTGGTTATAAAATGGAACCTACTAAAATTGTTAAAAGGATTCAATGAGATAGTCTATGAAAGTATTGAGCACAGTAGAGCCTAGGAAGAGCTAAATATATGCTAGTTATGAATAAATTTTTACTTACGTATCTCACTGGGGCTCAACCATGGTGTATGGATAAACTGAGCAGCATTTTTGAGTGGTGTATTTAGAAAAGCAGGCTCACACAGATATGTGCAGGGAGTCTTTCATGATTTACAGGGGGTTAGGAATTTTATTTCTTCCATCAGCTGTGAAGAGGGACCCAATGAACAGTAAACTCTAGTTATTGCTGGAGTAAGTGTTGAGGAGTTCCTCACAGTAGACTCCATGAAGGTGCTAGGTCTGTCTTGTTTGCATTGTATTTCCAGAACCTAGCACATACTTGGTGCACAATAAATATCTGTTAAATGAGTAAAGACATGGAAAAGTCTTAATAGCTATGCAACTGGTTAATCTTTAGCTAAGGTACATTCTAGGAATCAAATATAAAAGAAGTGATCTTTTGAAAGCAGGAGAAGACTTAGAGATGTTGTCTCCAATTACTATGAACTCCTTAGAGAAAAGTTATTAATAAATATTGAAAGGTATGTTAACAATATGCTTAATGATGTGACTTTTCTTTTTAAAAGATGAAAACATAGTATTTTATAAAATTTATAAATGGAGTTACATATTTGGATCATCCTTGCCAACTAACTCAAGGAACTTTCATAAAGAACTAGAAAGGTTGAGTTTTATTCATTGTAAAAACTCTGATTTCCCAAGTATTATTCCTTATCTAAATGTCTTCAAACTCTTGAACCTTTGAAGTAATTGATTTCAAATTCGTCTATTTAAAAAATATTTATGAAGAGTCAATTTCTAACTATGAAATTCAGAAATTATAGTACCAATCAGTATAGTATAAATCAGTGAGATTTTTCAAATTATCAGAAGGCAAATTCATTTATTTGTCTATCCACCTACTCAATCATTCTTTCATGTAACAAATATTAATTGGGTGCCTACATTGTGCCAGGCATTATCCCAGATGCCAGGAATACAGCAGTCCACAAGGCAGTCGTAGCCATTTCTCTCATGGAGTCTATGATTTAGAGGGACGAGATGGCGTGACAACATGTTTTGGGAGCTCTTGCTCCATGTCGGCCTACCCGGAACTTCAGAACATCGCTTTGTACTGCATGATGCTGTTTAAAGCTGTCTTACTAACAGCATTTGTTTGTATGATAAACACACACTAGCTGAAAGATGAGAGATTCAGGCATTATTCACACATCCACAAATATCTATAAATGTTTGAAATAATATAGACAAAATATTTCAACGTCTTGGAGTCCTATAGGCACAACTAAGTAAAATGAACTGAGCTCAGATCATTTTGATTTGTCAGGGTAGAAAACTGCATTTGTAAATTAGTGTAATCCATCTCTAGTCAGGTTCTTCAGAGACAGCATTGAATTCTTAAAAAGCCCCTGAATGCTAGATTCTGCATTTAGATCTTAGCATTGTCTTAAAAGATAGCCATAGTTCATATAACTGGAGAATCCCCTGTTGATTACATGATTGAGGAAGCACAAAAGTCTGTTATTCTTTCCAAAGTCAATTGTAATTTAAGCTCATTATCTCCCTGCAGATGTTCTATTTCAAATGGCAACAGAATCAAAATGTAAATGCCCCAAAGAAAAGGCTCAAGTATTCTTTAACTCAACTGTGCTCTGTTATTTGCCTTCAAAATCATAGCAGAAAAGAGTTTAGAAAAATCTGGCCACCAACCCGACCAAGGGAAAGAACCAAAATTTCATCAGGATCACTGATGAATAGTCATAACAGATTTTTCCGCTAACTTTTAATATCTAGTTTAGGATATTAAAGATTGAGCTTCATGTAAGGGCAACCCAATAGGCCTTTATTTTGATATGGTTTTGAACATGTCAGTAGCACTAATATAATCATTAAGAATAAAGAGCTTTAGGACAAGTTGTGGTGATTTTCTTCCATTTCCCTCTTGCATCAGTGAACCTTAGGGAACCACATGGGCCCTCTCTGAGTCCTAGGGATGGCTACTTTTGATTAAACTTTAGGGGAACGCTTACATTTCAACGACTAGATTTTAGTGAAGCAAACTGGCCATTTGACTGGTCCTTTGTATGTAGGGCCACTGTGACATGTAATCTGTCCCTAGATGCCTTCAGTGTGATGGATTGCCCCTCACTTTGACAAAAGGCTTGGCGTACATTTATTAGCACTTAACATTACGCAAATGAAGCATAAAATACACAGACTTTTAGAAAACACAAATGTAACATATCTGCTTATTTGATACTTGCTTCTGTAACACTATGACAATATTTATATTGACGTGAAAACATGATCAATTAATATTAACCACTTACAGCTAAATGAAAACATACTCACCTTAAGCTCCAAATGTATACAATGTATTGAAATGTGTTGAAATGACCATTTTCTCATTACAAGGGTGCATTGATTTCCCTTTATGAGAATCTGTGGCATTGCCTGAAGAGCTTTCACATTCTTTGTTAAATGATAACTAAAATATATGTTTTATTAAAGTTTTCTTATAAAAATGAGAACTACCTCTTTCAAACTGAATAATACTCACGTCATCTCCATTCATTCCCTTTAGTCATGCTTGTCTCTTTTGTAAAACTATTTTACATAACATTCAGGGTCCTGACCCTTGCCCTCCCCACCAGTTCTCTAGTAAAAAATGATATGTCTTCAAGGATGGGAACCTGTTGCCACAGCAGGACACTGTTGAAATTGGCATACCTCCTCCTTTCCTTGCTGTTTGTCCTCTGTTGGGTGACAGACTATGAAGAGTAGCCAGAACTTGGGACTGACAATAATACAACCTGACAGGGCAAAATAAAATGTGCTGGGCAGTTCTGATTGGTTTTATTTTCATGAAAACTGTTCCTAAACTGAGCTTCATAAATTTCTAATCTGGGGGACTATCTGAAACGTGAAATTTATTGTATCTTGGGGAATCAATTTCTGCCTTTGAGAAAAGGGTATATTTAAATATTTGCTTAGTTTTAATGACCTATCTAGAGTGTTTCGGCTAGAGATTTATTCTTTTTTCAGGTACATTTGTGTGCTTAACATATTTAAATGCCCAAATAATTATTGCTTCCTATTCATTCCATAGAGTCAAATCAGACTTATGTACCTAGATTTATTGTAAGCTGAAAGTTATGATCTGTATAGCTGGCTCTAATAGATCATTTTCCAGTAAATGGTACTTTCTGAAAGATGATATCTCATTGTCTATTTACCTACATGAATATGTGTAATGAAGTAGGTATCTTTTCCCTCTAGATGCAGCAGCATCTTTTCATTCACAAAATCAATATCACTGGTTTACATATTCCTAATTTCAACAGGAATAATACCTTTGATCTTAGATTGCCAAAAATATCCAATTTCTATTTGGGAATACTGATCTAAACTTTGTATGACATATATATGTGTATATACATGCATATATACTATAATTTAGTTTTGTAAAGCCCTAAGCTTTAAAATCTCAAATAGACTTTTATGACAGCACGTCAGTGTAGGTAAAAAGAGTTTAGATTTCTCCAGAGTTTATCAATCAAAAATATAAAACTTAACAAAAAATATTGAGAGCAGGGTTCGATATAAATATCATGAGGATCAGTTCATGAAGCTAGGTCCTTTGCTAGTATTCTCTTACCAGATTCGTAACACTTGGTAAGAAAAGACCTAAGTTTGTAACAAATACACTCTGATAATATATATACTGTGGAATAAATATACATTATATTCTGTTAGAATTAATAATAATAGATATAAGCAATACTTAAATTAAACAAAAACTACAGTAGTAGAGTTCTCTATTCTTGCTTCTAGCAAACTAAAAGTTGAGCTAAAATTTCCCCACTACATTAGTGCATAATAAAATTTATGGAAACCAAAAATAAAAAGCCAATTGCTTCTAGAACCTGAATGGAGTACAAATATAATGTAATACTTGCCATTTTCAAGAGGGGGATAGAGGTTGAATTCGCTATTAACTGGAATTCTAACTCAGACGACTCAGCAATGCGATTGTGGAACAGGTCAGGGTGAGAGGCAATGTGTAGGTTTCTTTTAAGTGGTGACAACTTTGAACTGATGCAGTTTGAACCACAGGCTAATGAGGGATTTGTTAGTCTCTGGAAAAGCTATAGACCCAAGAATAAGTTAATCCTGGCCCTGGTGATTTCTCTGAAAGTCATGGACTTCATTCTTCTTATACTCTTTCAGACTGCAGACTGGAAAACTCTCCCTTTACACACTGAGAATTCCCATCACACTGAATGGAAGGTCTGTGTGTGTAAAGTGCACGTGAGCAGCAGGGGTTCAGCCCTAGAGAAAGAAGGTGTCGAGTTGCCTTGGTAAAGAATTTATACAACACGTGTTCACAGCTTCTTGATAGGTATAATTATCAGTATTGTCTTTTCCTTTGACTATGTGCTAGGATTCTGAAGCACGGTTTCAAATTTGTGACTATCAGATGTTTGATCAAGTAGTTTTTCTTCAAGGACCTGAGGGGGAAAGAGTGAAAAGAAATCCGTGGTTAGTATTCATTTGTCAACTAAAATGTGCTAAAAATATCAAAAGAGCATGTGCTATGTGAGAACAGCAAGGAGTATTTTGGGCGCTATCATTCATGTTCAGTCTTCCACATTTGAAAAAAAATTGTTTCATGTTTTCAAAGGAAGTAATTATCAAATGAGGATGGAAAAGACACAGTTATTCCCTAAAATGAAATAAAGAACACCAGTTTGGAAACATGTAAAACATTTCTTACTCCTAACTCCAGATGACACTATTTTTCTTCACGAAGGCATAGGACAGTTAACCTTTATATCGCGACTCTTAGGGAGATTAGTGGTACTCCTGTTGAGGTGCAGGCCAGCACAACCTCTCTCTGATAGGCTGCAAGCACCAATATCCCTTCTCTGAAGCAGATAGGCTTGTTTCTTCTCCCACAAGTTCAGCCTAACACTGAGTAAAACGGAGTAGGCAGCTGCCCATATGGTCAGATTTGGGAGAGCAGCACCCCCAAACACTTCCCCCACACCTGTCACTCTTCCACCATTAGGGAGTCATTTTTTTCAGAGAGAGCAGTCGTTTTTAATCTGTATGTTTTTTTTCTCTTTAAAGATTTTATTTTTTTCCTTTTTCTCCCCAAAGCCCCCTGGTACATAGTTGTATATTCTCAGCTGTGGGTCCTTCCAGTCGTGGCATGTGGGACTCCGCCTCAGCGTGGCTTGATGAGTGGTGCCATGTCCGCGCCCAGGATTCGAACTGACGAAACACTGGGCCGCCTGCAGCGGAGCATGCGAACCCAACCACTCGGCCACGGGGCCGGCCCTTTAATCTGTATTTTTAAAGCTGCAGATATTTTTATTTCAATGAATGCAGAGCGCCATATACAAAACAGATTTTAACAAACTGCTCTGGTTGACATGAAAGTTGGGGGCGCCTTGCAATCTGCCTCTTCTGCATCAACACTCGCCAGCTGCCACGCCTTCTAGAGATGGGCCTCAAAGCCCCTGGGCCAACAGAGTGGAACTGAAAGCCATGCTTGAGGCCACTGGGCTTCTTCCTGAGCTACCCAACAAGATAGGACATGAAAGCATGATCTGCCATTAACACTGTAACCACGGCAACACGACAACTACTCCTATTACCAGCTACAATTTATTCAGAGCTTGCTAATTGCCACATACTTTAAGAGTTTTACATATTTTTTCTTATTTAATCTCCACAACAGACCATTTTACTGAGTCTTATATTGAATAGCTTCCTACAAGTCCCTTAGCTACCAGGTGACAGAGATCTAGAGACTGAGTTTTTAATGAACAAATTTATCATAGAGTTACATGTCCCAAGGGAATGGGACTTAGGACAGGTGAATTTGAGAGTCTTAGATCTCTTCATCTATCCAGAGAGGAGCAGGCCTGAGAGACATGCCAGCAACTGAGAGAGCACTGGGCATCCAAAATGCGGGACACTGAAATGCATACTAGGAGGAACCTTCTGCATCAAATGTTCTCACTATTTCCCTCATTCCCATGATTTATAATTCAACAGATTAATGATTTTTTTGAAATAAAGTCCTCTTTCCCATATTAGTGTGAAATTTTTTAATCAAATTGCTTTGCTAACTTTTAAATGAGCCACTGTGGCAGGCAGAATAATGGCTCCCCAGATATGTCCACCTCCTAATCCCCAGAACCTGTGAATATGTTAGATTCCATGATAAAGGGAAATGAAGGTTGTAAATGGAATTAACATTGCTAAACAGCTGATGTTAAGATAGGGAAATTATCCCGGATTACCCAGGTGGGCCCAATGTAATTGACAGTGGAAAAGGAGAGAGGAGAGAGAGTTGGGGAAGCAGATCTGACAATGGAAGCAGAGGTCAGAGCAATGCAATGAGAGAACTCGACCACCATTGCTGGTTTTGAAGATGAAGAATGGGACCATGAGGCAAGGAATGCAGGCAGCCTCTAGAAGCTGGAAAAGGAAAGGAAATGAATTTTCCCCTAGAGCCTCCTAAAGCCCAGTGAGACTGCATTGGACTTCTCTCCTACAGAATTACTAGATAATAAATTTGCGTTATTTTAAGCCATTAAATTTGTGATAAATTTGTAGCACTGCAATAGGAAACTAATCCAGCTGTGAGGATGAAATACTTTGAAGTATGGGGTACTCGTTTGGAGGTAAGTGGTGGGGTGCATTGAATAACTCCAACTCTAAGCAGCATGGGAATGAGTCCCTGGAAAGCTCCTGCGAATGTGACTCCAAGGGTGGATAGGGGAATGCGAGGGCAGGTGCCAGTGAAGACAGAGGCAGAAAAGCACAGTGTTCAGGAGACAGAGGCTTGGAAGCCCATGTTTCTGAGTTTGAATCATGGCCCTATCACTTATGTGAGGGATCAGAATTTGCCACCCCAAAATGTGCATCTCTGGTATGAAGAAACTTTGACCCTCCCCCTGACTGCCTAAAAGAATTTAAGACAGAAGGCCTGTCCCAGGAAAGAGCTATCACCAGAGATAACTATACTGTAATATAAAGTAGGTGTGATAGACAGGGAGGCACCCAATAAGGCCCATTTTTATCAAAGTTCTCTCTCATTTGGTTATAGATGGCCCAGAAACATTTGTTTACCAAACATTTGCTTCTCCATCTCCATGTAATTTGCCTTCCTCCCTTCTGAAGTCCCAAACTACTACCCCCAACATCCTCTTTTGTCTTTAGCTGAAGACGATATTTAAGGTGGAGGCTTTGGCCATTTTGGCGAGTTACTTAGTTTTCCTGGATGTCTTCCGTGTATACATGTTATTAAACTTTGCTTGGTTTTCTCCTGTTATTCTGTCTTATGTCAATTTAATTCTCAGACCAGTCAGAAGTACCTAGAGGGTAGAGGAATAATTCTTCATGCCTTACACTTACTAGCTGTGAAATGTGGTATAGATCTTTAAAAATCCTACATGCTTCAGTTTCCTTCTTTAAAATGAGATTAAAAATAGCAACTAATACTTATAGATTATTGTGAAGATTAAGTAATTATTAAATATATGAAGCACTTGGAAAAGTTCTGGGCACACTGTAATTGCTTAATAAATGTTATCCAGCCTTATGATGATTATTTCTGGCCCAGTTTTCTGCTTGGTAACTCTGGGTTCCTTGGTTTCAATTTTATCAGAGTCATCCTTTGGTACCAGGTCCTCTCAGTTGGGTAGCAGTTCCCTAGGTCAGATCACCAGGACCATGGCTGTGGCAGTGGTAGTAGAAGGTATAGAACAGTCAGTGGTGGACAAAGTTAGATAAATAGGGGCCTGAAGAACAGGAGGAAAAAGAAATTGGTGAGGCCGCTGGCAAAGACCAGCTGTACTCTGTATAGCTGTTAAGATCCAGCCTGGTTTTGAACAAAATGAATTCTCTACCCCAGATCCAGCAATAGAAGGTCAGAGAAGTTAAATAAGCTTTTGGTCTTGAATTCCTCAGAATGGTGACATCTCAAGGAGTATTCCTCTTCCTTCCTACTTTTACTCTTTGGTAACTGGGTGAAATATGGGTGTACATGCAGTCACACTTTTAAAATAAGATACTTATCAATGTTATGCTTTCCCAAAAATAGTGGATATTGCATAAAAAAACATAACCATATTCTCTGTCCAGATTTCTATATTATAATTGTATAACGATCATATCTTTTACATCTTAAAAAACATAATCTATTCTTCCCAATTATCAAACATGGAACTTACGGGAAAAGACAATTGAGTTTTGCTTCAGGACAGTTTAAAATTAAAAGTAGGCATGAGAGATATTCTCCACACACTACTTGCATTCAACCTATTTTCCATTTGTATCCAGCACTTACTATTACTGGTAACTTCATAGCTTATACCATCTCAGATAAAAAAAATTACTACTTCTCATTTAGAGAATAGAAATTGCATTTCATGTGATAAACAATAAGACAACATCCGACAAGTATTTCGCTCTACCTGGTCTTTGCATGAATTATCAAACTTGAAAAAAAAAATCAGAGTTCTGCTCAAAGTAAATAGGTCAAGCTAGCTTCAAATCTCTTTGTAAAAGCAACCATAGCATGAGTTAGCAAGTGTAACAAATCCATTTAATCCTTAAAAATCTAATTAATTAAAATTTGAACAAGAGGTAATGTAGGTCTCTTTGACTGAATTCACCATAAAATCCATGGATGACATGACTTGGTTGTATTTCGCGTGTACTTCAAATGGCCACTACAGCTTCATCTCAAGGGGCCACGATCATGTGGATTGCAAGTGCTGTGTTGGCAAGCATAACTATAAATTTCACGTTTACTTAAACAGAGCTTTACCATATCCTGTGCAGGAAAAAACATACTTTGAAAATGCCTTTTAATAAAAATGTTCATCTTTCATGATGAGACAATAGGAAATTCTGAAGCAATTTAATCAAGACTGATGGAAGTGGAATTGAGTACATGGCCCAGCAAATATTTATGGCCAAGTTGTCTACTTCCAAAGATGCCTGAATGACCAGAAAATATTATGGTCATTCAAGCTTTATGTAAGCTTGGAAGCTTTTAGTAAGCTTTAGTAAGCTTCCAAGCTTATGGAAGCTTTTAGGAAGACCTCAGAAGTCTGAATGACAACATATTTCTTTCAAAACACTTCAGAACAATTTTACTCTGGGCCAGTGTGGTAAACCAGTTAGGAGAATTGTTGCAAGTCTGTATTACTGAGGATGGGAGAAAAAAAGAGTGGAGAGAGAGTCAATGTTTGACTAAAGAATAGTGGACTGTTATTTGCAAAAAGATCTTTGGGATCTGACGGTACAAATGGAAAGTAACTTTACATTTGGAGTGGATAGAGAGGAGAAAGGTATGGACAAAATGACTTCTTCATATGTGTCCATATCACTCCATCTCAAGGATATCATCCTAGTCCAAGCCACCATATCTCTTGTTTGGACTACTATGCAATAGCCTCCTAAGTAGTCTCTGCTTTCACCCCTACCCTCCAAAATCTGTTCTCCCCACAGCAGCCAGAGTGATCTTTTTCAATACATAAATCAGATTGTGTCATACTCTTGCTTAAAAACCATCAGTGGCTTCCATTGCAATCAGATTTAACTTCTCTCAGTGATTTAAAAGCTTTCCGTGACCTGGTCCCCACCTATCTCACTGTCCTTCTCACTTTTTATTCCCTAACTACCCCGGCTTTCTTTCTGTTTATCAAATGTCAAATGGCTCATGTCTGCCTTAGAGCAACTGCATTGGCTATTTCCTCCTCTACTTATGCTCGCTTCCTGGCTTCTCCTAGTCATTCAATCTCAGTTTAAATGTCACCTCCTTTGAGAGGTCTTCCCTGATCACCTAATCTAAAGTCACCACCTAGCCAGTCTTTATCAAAGTACCCTATTTCAACTCTGCAAAGTACAGGTCCCAATAGGACATTTTTATTTACTTGTTTATCAACTATCTCCTCCAGCCTGAATGTAAGTATAGTGACAGCAAGGGCTTTGCTTTGCTTAACCTGTTTCTACAGCCCATTGGGCAGTGCCTGGTCCACAGCAGTGCCAAATAAATATTTATGGTTGAATATTGTAGTTTTTACAATGGAAGGTAATTTTAGATAAAGACACCAAACTGTGGTATATATAATAAAACTAGCAGACTGTAAAAGAAAGATACCTAGTTGGATTCCCAGGATTGTCTGAGGACAAAGCCCGTACTCTTTTTACTTCCCCATGTAGTTTCTCCTTTCTGTGTCACAAAAAAATTAAAGTCTCATATCATATTGAATGTTTCTAATGATAGTGCAAATAGTAATATAATATTAAATGAGTTAAAACCACCAAGACCCACTGTCATCCTTCCAAGAACATTGGAACCTTATTTCAAATACACATTTGTAGACATCATGGTGTGGAAGTATCTGATGATATGAGCTGTCTCTTCCAAAGGATAGTAAGGAAAATTTTTATAACTCCAGAATATCTGATGTTGGCAGATGAAATACCTGGTAGAGTAAGAAGGAAAATAATCCTATGCTACTCGTAAGTGTGGTTGTGGGGACTCCACTGAAGCTACTGCAGCTTCATATCATTCATCTAAAAAAGGAGCTTTTAATGATACTTACCTTGAAAGGTTTTTCTGAGGATTAGGGATAACATGTGAGAAGGGTGCAGCACATAGCAGGCACTTCAAAGATGGTGATTCTTACTCTTCACATTTTTTTTCTTGAATTTTGAAAAAATATATAGCAAAACCTGACTTAGCATTCTTTGTCACAAAGTGGAATTTAGAAAAAGGCAGTTGCATTTTAGACACATTTTAAGTGAGTACCCAAAGAGAATTTCAGAATCTCTCAGATCATGGACACCGGCAGGTCTCCACTTCATTCTTTTCAGTTGAGCATTTTTCTAATAAACTGTTCTTTAGTATTCTAAAGTGGATCTTCCCAGGATCAGCACTATGTGGTTGTTTAGGTTGTATACTGTGCAACAGCAGCCAGCCAAGGCGGAGAGTTGTGACTGGAATCCAGCCCACAGTCTTGCCATCTTGCTATGTGTCTAAGGAGCTGGGTTTGCACAGAGCCTGCATTTTCCTAATTTGTATAAAGGCATCTATAGTCTGTACCTGGCCCTCTCAAAGTGTATTATTTTTCAAAATAGCTTACATTTGCAGGGAATATAGCTGAATGACATGTAAAGTAAGCAATCATTTTGTTTGCATTTTCTGAGATCATTGTTTTTTGTTTGATTTTTTTTCGATTATTAAATCTAATGACTTTGTTCCAGCTGTCTAAGAAACTATTAAAAAAAACCCAAACTTGTATGTGGAAGGGACTTTCCTTGTATGGAAGAAGGCGCTTCTCACCTATGACATGTGGTTTTGCTGTGTTTGTTGCTGCTGCTGCTGTTGCTGCTGCTGAATTAGCAATTGCTGCTGCTGCCGACGCCGGGCTGTCCGTAGCTTTTCAAAGCGAGCCTCCATTTCTTCCAGGACTTTTGGGGTGTATCTGACCACCAGCTTGACAGTGTCCTTAGCGGCCTTGAGTAGTTCCACAGCTTTCTCATGGTGTTCTCCCTCCACACTCTGAAAAGACAGTGACATTTCTTGAAGGGGAGAGCTTCTATGTTCTTTTCCCTGAGAGACAAATCTGAAATGAGTATCATATTAAATCCCAGTTTGAAATTTGAAGAAGGCATGGCAAATGGGATTTACTGCCATCAGCATTACTATTTATTGCATTTGCAGTTGGACTATAAGCAGGTTAGGCTGCAATAGGGTAAAGAATGGGTTGAATGGGATTCAAGTTAGGAGGGTGAGAAACAATGAAGACCTAGAAGGTAACGCTAACATCTAGAATGGGGTTTCTAAATTTCACCTGGAAGAGTAAATGCACTAGTCAGGAGAATTTTGAAAAAATTAAAAAATAGTGATGAAGGGGGACTTTCCATTCAGATATCAGAATTATTAAAAATCTACAATAAGTAAAACTGTCTTATTGATGTAGTAAGAGACAGTAGATAGAACAGTGAGTTCAGAAGCAGATCCATCATATGTAAAACTTTATTATATGATAAAAATGGAATTTAGATCAAAGGGGAAAAATATTGTCAAATAATGATGCTGGAACAGATAATAATTAAATGATACAAAATAATGTAGACCCCAATCTTAGTCTATGCCATATATAACAGATTGATTAAAAATATAAATGTAAAAGTAAAACCATCAAACAACTAAAAGAAAACATGGCTGAACATTCACCATCTTGCAATGCAAGAGGAATTCTTAAGTAAAATACCAAGGAAAAGAAATCACAAAATCAGATTTAAAAATTATAAGTTTCTATGTCTCAACCACCATAAAAAGGTCAAGTAACAAACCAGAAAAAAATATTTTCAATATATGACCGTCAATTCATTAATATTCTTCAAATGAAGAGCTCGTATGAGTCAATAAGGATCTAAGCAAAATGGACAAGTGAACACATGGACAAATAATTTTAAAAACTCCACAAATGTTCAATAAACCTGTGAAAGGATGTTCGAGCTCCATAGTAATCAAAGAAATACAGGTGAACACAAAGCATTTCATTTTTATTTTAAAAATGGTAGAGATGTATTTTTAAAAACAAGCATACTTTGTTTTATTGGCTTTGCCTTAGTGCATTTCACAGATACATATTGTATTTTTTACAAATTGAAGGTTTATGGCAGCCCTGCATCCAGCATGTCTACCAGCACCATTTTTCCAACAGCATTTAATCACTTTGCATCTCTGTGTCACATTTTAGTAGTTCTTGCAATATTTCAAACTTTCTCATTATTATTATACCAGCAAAGAGATTATGACTCTCTGAGGGCTCAGATGATGGTTAGCACTTTTTAGCAATAAAACATTTTTTAAATTAAGGTGTGTACATTGTTTTCTTAGACATAATGCTATTGTCCACTTAGTAGACTACAGTATAGGGAGTGACATCAGTGACATGACAGAGTGAGCTGTTCCCTTTATCTCTCTCCCTTTGAACTACAACTAAATGGACATTCATTGACCAAAGGAGCTTACCCACATAGCACAAAGGGACACCTGAGAGACCCATGCAGCTATACATCTGAAGGTGGATGGACTCGCTTCCTAGAAAGTGGCAGAGATAGGCGAGCACTCCCCTACACTTCCTCCGCATCCCTATGCACATGCCCAAATAACTTCCCAGCCAGCACAAGTGCCCATAGTACTGTTGCTGCCTTGAAAGTGGGATTGTAGTGTGGCGTGACTGTGGGAAGGGGTGGCAGCAGCCCAGAGCCTGCAAGCAAACACTATCCTGGTTGGTGGGAGAGCCCACCCTGCTGCTGTGGTCCCAACAAGTGGCCCAGGCTTGGACCCTGCAAAGAAGCCTGGCCCAACAAAGACAACAGCTGGCATGACCATAAGAAGAGGCGGTAGCAGATAGACATGCACGCAAAAGCTTTCCCAACTGGCACAAGCACCCACAGTACCACTGTGGTCCCACAAGTGGGAACGCACCTGGGCCCAGAGGAAGACCTGAGCCTGCATATGAATGCTTTCCTGGCCAGTGGAACCCTCCACCATATCTGCACAACTTCCAGCAGATGGGGTGGTATCAGAAACACAGCTCCTGCTTCTCCCCAGTGGTTGCAGGTTGCGTCTGTGACCTGATACTACCACAAATGCCCTGGCAAAAGATTAGTTCATCAAACACCATGAGAAACTACAGCAACAATTCAGAGCAGGAGGAGAGTGATGAATCTCCAGAAACCAACCCTGAAGTCACTGAAATTTACAATCTAAATCAGAAATAAAAGCTTTCATAGATAAACAAAAGCTGAGGGAGTTCATCACCATTAGACCTCCCCTGCAAGAAATGATTAAGGATGCTCTCACACCTGAAAAAACACCACAAAGGTCTACAAAGCTTTGAGCAAGTAGATACATAGACACACAAAATAAGAAAACTGCAGCTCTCTTTCAGAACAGGGTAGCAAATACTTAATTATAACTTAAAAGATAAAGGGAAGGAAAGCATCAAAAGTAACTATAAACACTTCGACGTCACAAACTCACAAAACAAAATGGAATAATTTGTGACAATAATAACTCAGAAGGAGAAGAGGAAAGGGATGGAACCTGCTTGTGTTAATGGTGATAAGAGGCTATCAGAAAATGGAGTATCTAATACATGAGATCTTTTATACAAACCTTACAGTAACCACCAAGCAAACAATCAGAGCAGAGTCACAATTCATTAAAAAAGAGAAAACTGAAAACTCCAGAAAACATATCTCAGCTCTAAAGACAAACATAGGCTCAGAGTGAAGGGATGGAAGATGATTCTCCAAGCAAACAGCAAACAAAAGAAAGTAGGCATTGCCACACTTATATCAGACAATGCAGCCTTCAAGATAAAAAAGACAATAAGAGACAAGGAGGGGCAGTATCTAATGATAAGAGGGACATTTCACCAAGAGGACATAACACTTATAAATATATACGTACCCAAACACAGGAGCACCAAAGCATATAAAGCAACTATTAACAGACCTAAAGGGAGAAATTAACAGAAACACAATAATAGCAGGGGACCTCAATACCTCACTTCCATCAATGGATAGATCATCCCAACAGAAAGTCAATAATGAAATAGTGGATTTAAATGAAACATTTGATTAGACAGACTTCATAGATAAAAAGAGAGCATTCCATCCAAAAACAGCAGAATATACATTCTTCTCAAGTGCACATGGAACATTCTCAAAGATAGACCATATGTTGGGAAATAAGGCAAGTCTCAATAAATTTAAGAAGACTGAAATCACATAAAGCATCTTTTCCAACCAGAATGCTATGAAACTAGAAATCAACTACAAGAAAAATGCTGGGAAAGTCACAAATATGTGGAGACTAAACAGCGTGCTACTGAAGGACCATTGGATCAATGAAGAAATCAAAGGATGAATGGAAAAATACCTGGGGACAAATGAAAATCAAAATACAACATACCAACTCTTATGGGATGCAGCAAAAGTGGTTATAAGAGGGAAATTCATAGCAATACAGGCCCACCTCAATAAACAAGAAAAATATCAAATACGTATTCTTAAACTATACCTCACAGAACTAGAAAAAGAACAAATGAAGCCCAAAGTCAGTAGAAAGAAGGAAATAATAAAAATTATAGCAGAAATAAATGAAAGAGACTAAAAAATCAGTAGAAAGGATCATGAAACTAAGAGCTGGTTCTTTGAGAAGATAAATAAAATTGACAAACCTTTACCTGGAGTTACCAAGAAAAAAGAGAGAAGGCTCAAATACATAAAATTAGAAATGAAAGAGGAAAAATTACAATGGATACCACAGAAAATACAAAGGATTATAAGAGAATACTATGAAAAATTATATGCCCACAAATTGGATAACCTAGAAGAAATAAATAAATTCTCAGACTCATACAACCATCCAAAACTGAATCAAGAAGAAGTAGAGAATCTGAATACACCAATCACAAGTAAAGAGATTGAAACAGTAATCAAAAACCTCCCCCAAAAACAAAAGTCCAGGAGCAGATGGCTTCTCTAGAGAATTCTACCAAACATTCAAAGATTTAATACCTATCCTTCTTAAACTATTCCAAAAAATTGAAGAAGACTCAATGCTTCCTAACCCATTCTGTGAGGCTCTGATACCAAAACCGGGCAAGGACAGCACAAAGAAGGAAAATTACAGGCCCAAATTGCTAATGAACATAGATGCAAAATTCCTCAAAAAAATATTGTCAAATTGACTACAGCAATGCGTTAAAAGGATCATCTACCATGACCAAGTGGGATTTACACTACGCATGCAGGGATGGTTCAACATCCACAAATCAATCAATGTGATACACCACCTTAATAAAATGAGGAATGAAAATCATACGATCATCTCAATGGATGCAGAGAAAGGATCTCACAAGATCCAACATCCATTTGTGATAAAAACTCTCAATAAAATGGGTATAGAATGAAAGTACCTCAGCATATTAAAGGCCATATATGACAAACCAACAGGCAATATCATATTTAATGGGAAAAAACTAAAAGCCACTCCTATTCAACATAGAACTAGAGATTTTTGCCAGAGCAATTAGGCAAGAAAAAGCAACAAAAAAGGATCCAAACTGTAAAGCAAGAAATGAAACTTTTTCTGTTTGCAGATGACATGATTCTATACATAGAAAACCCTAAAGAATCCACTAGAAAACTATTAGAAATAATCAACAACTACAGCAAAGTTGCAGGGTGCAAAATCAACTTCAAAAAATCAATTGCATTTCTGTACACTAACAACAAAGTAGCAGAAAGACAAGTCAAGAATACAATCACATTTACAAACAAACAAAAAGAATAAAATATCTAGGAATAAATTTAACCAAAGAGGTGGAAGACCTATACACTGAAAACTATAAGACATTTTTGAAAGAAGTCGAAGAAGACATAAAGAAATCAAAAGACATTCATGCTCACGAACTGGAAGAATAAACATAGTTAAAATGTCCAGATTACCTAAAGCAATCTACAGATTCAGTG